CTCACCCCCGTTCTCGTTCTTGTTCCCGCTCCTTGTTCATGGTCTCTATCCCTGTCATGTCTAGTCTCGTCCTTACAAAAAAAATTAGGTAGCTATTAGGTATTGTTTTAATATGTTTTGTATTTGTGTACGTATGTGTGTGTTTTTCATATATAAACATATTTTCAAGTTTATTTTCCACACACAAAACAGTCGTGAATATTTCATATTAGAAACAATATATGAAATCAGTTTATAAATTTGTATTTTTATCGAGTTCGTATTTGATTGCCTCTGCATATTTTGGAGTTGAATTAGGGGAGGATAACATCTTCCCAACCCCACCTCGAACTTGCTTTAGATACAGAAATCATTCCACATCCCTACGATAAGGTTTTAATCTCTATTAAAAAAGCAGGGTGCTGAGCTGAACCAGATCAAACCATACATATTAAAGGGTATTTTGGTCATTTATTATTATTATTATTTTATTACTATGTTGAAATTATATTATGTGAACGAGACAGTCAAATTCCAATTCATTTGACATATTACATTCCATTTTCTGTCAACTAAACATATGGTCAAACATGATCAATTTCATTCCAATTCCTTTAAGACATCTCATTCCCTCCAAAAACAATATACAAACTGAACGCCTTATAAATATTGTATTAAATTTTATATTTATCCAAAAAAATATCTGGTTATCAAATTGTCATTAGGTTAGTAGTACCCAAGTTACCAATGAAGTCTAACCTTTTAAGAAGTCAAGAGTTTAACCTTACAAAAAAAATGAGAAGTGTGATTAAATACTTGTAGATTATATACTTTAAAGAAAACTAGAAGGGTACACGCGCAATGCAGCGAGATACATCTTGATTTTAATATTTCATTTTATTCTTTATCTCAGTCGATGCTATAATATGGTCGTATGTGATTTTGAGAAAACGATTATGTTTTTATTTTTGAATAAAATATAAGTTTGAAGATATCATAAAATTTTGACAAAATGTATCGATATTAGTATCAAATTAACTATTTAAAATTCCTCATTTTTTGTGTAATTTTTTAATTCAATTTTTTTATAATTTAATTTAGGTACAGTAACGAAGTAATTTATATTTGCTTTAATAATATAATTTTTTTATAAAAATAATAATTATTTATTTTCATAGAACTCGATAATTATTCTAATTATATTTTAGATTTTTTATATTTTAAAATGAGATGTTTTTCCACTATTTGATTATGTTTATCCGCAGTTAATGATACGAATTCAAACATCGAGTTTTAATAAGTTATACTTATGCATAATTTACTTGTAATCTTGAATTTTAAGTAAACATTTGTTTTATGTGATTTTGAGAAAGTGATAATGTTTTTATTTTTAAATAAAATATAAATTTAAAAATATCATAAAATTTTGAAAAAATAATATTGATATCAGTATTAAATTAATCTTTCTAAAAGTTCTTGTGCTTTGATGTAATTTTTTTAATTATAATTTAATTTAGCTTTAGTAACAAAGAAATTTAATTTAGGTTTATAATATAATTTTTTATAAAGATAATAATTAAGTATTCTGTTAGTTATCAATGATTATCCTAATTATGTTTTAGATTTTTTATATTTAAAATGAGATGTTTATCCAATATTTGATTATGTTTATCTGCAGTTAGTTAGACGAATTCAAGTATTGAGCTTTAATAAGTTGTACTTACGCACAATTTACTTGTAATCTTAAATTTTAAGTAATATACATCAACAAGCAATACTTAATGCATAAAAAATTGTTTTCAAGAGTTTTTGTCAAATAATTTATAATATAGTATAGATAATATTTAGTTGTATTAACAAAATTATTTACCAAAATAAATTTAAATTCATTCTAATGCATAAGGAGTTGACATATCTACCAGCTAAAACGGGAATTTGATTGGAGATATTAACTATTTCGGTTAATGGCGAAAGATCGTATGAGAAGGAGATTTAAGGTGAGAAAAGATTTGAACCGTTGATCACATTTAATCTCAAACCCATCCACAAATCATGTTTGATACAGGGATTGATCTTATACATCTCGGTATATCTCATATAGGTGCACCTCATCCTAGTATGCATCAAAGGGTTCAGGTTTCTTCTTACGCTTCTCACCTTAACTATCTTTCTCACTTGAATACAACTATTTGGTCAATTTCTCTAAATTAAAGTATCTATTTTTTTTTTTTAAATCACGTTAGAAACAAAAACTGGTTTAATCCTTGGTGCTTATGTTCATTTATAGAACCATAATGTATGCTTGCTTCAGGGATTTGAACCAAATAAAACACAAATACTTGTGTTTCAAACCAACCCCAAAGAGTAGAGCGGCTGAATCTGTTAAGATTCTGGCTTGTGCAAAAGTAGGAGCAAAAGGGAAAGAAGAACCAAGACTAGTAAATCGTAAGCAACGTAAAAAGAAACAATAACGAAGTAGCCACATTGAAACATGAAAAAAGCAAGAAAAGTCGCACCATCCCTCCATTAACTGTAAGGACTCTCGTACCGTGTTTCAAGCCAATAGGCAAAAAAGAGAGCTAAATTAGACGACGATGACATTTTACAATTTGTTCTCCATGACAACAACAACAACCAAGTAAAAAGAGTAACCAAAAAGACATGAAAAAGAACGACTAGATTTGGCTATTCTCATATAAGTTATCACTGGTATCTGTATATGTAATCAATCAATTTTCCTGTTGGATTATGCTGATCCCCTTTGCAACGCGAAGCTCGGGTTTAATTTCTGAAAACGCAACTATAACTTACTGCTAGCGATCCATTCTGAAGTCATAGGATAAGAAAGCACCTGGGGAGTGTATATTACATAGCAGCTTGAAAGGGATATGACATATTTGTCGTCGTTAGGATCAACTTACATTTATGTACTGCCAAGTGAAGAAAATAAATTGGTAAGTAATTACCGATCATAACGGATAGAAGAAAATGCAGGAAAAAGAAAGAAACATGACCGTGAAAGACTAAAAGTCGACTAATTGTTGGCCTTTTTGGCATTCACAAAATCCTAATCCATGACATAAATCCCCGGTCCTTGGATAGTAGTGAACCAGTCTCCCAAAAGACTAAAAGTTTGTAATAGTATCCCGAAAGCTTAAGGTTGTGATAGTAATTATTGAATATAATGTTGCCTCTACTAAATGCAAGGTTCTACACGGCACGAGGCATGACGTGGCGGTATTGTCAAGCCTCAAGCATTAGGAGCCACAACGAGGCCACGGCCTTTTCAAGGCATGACTTATGGCGGTAAATCTGTATATCATATATATAAATATAAGTACACATGTTTTATACTATTACTCTATGAGTCGACGATATTGAATTTAAGTTGGGATACTAAAAACCAAAAGAACACCAAAAAGATTAAATAACACCTTGCAAAAAAAGCACAGCACGCCTTCACGTGCCATGGGAGTTAGCATGGCTTAGGAGATGACAAAAGTGAAGTATCCACATTTCCTGTGTGTGTATCATGCTTGATTTAGGTTGCATTATTTGGTGGGAAACTGCTCTCTGTTCTTTTATTCTTTCATCTTTTATGGGCATGTTAAGAATTGCGGTTATGCACCTCTCTCATTGTGGAAAGCCAATCTCTCTCCAGAGACGATAAATTAAATGTTTAAAACATATTAAGAATTTGTTGATTACATATGTTGCTAGAGTTGAAAGAAACCCCTAAGAAAGATGAAAGTAGGCCAAGCTATACAACATGCTTAAATTCCTAGAGGGTAGAATGGCTAACTTTATTAGTGTCATCATTAAGATGAAGATGCTCTATTATGAATGGAAGGAGAGTGCAATGGACTCAATTGACAAGAAAACAAAAATGAGGCCAAAACTGTACAAATTATTCAAGAATCAAGCCTCTGAGTTATGAGTCATAATCTATGGCAAGGAAACTAGGCATAGGTTAAAAGTAGAGGCAGCTCATGGAGAGATACAAGTGACATTGAAAATAGGTGCATAACGTTTACTAATCTAGAGAGGGCATGTGATATGAGTGCCAAAAGAAATGTTGTGATATCTTGAGACGACAAAAGCTCCTACAATGTGTCTCATGTGATTAAAGATAGTCGATTGTAGAATGTCGCTTTACGATTAGGGATAAACAAGCTTTGGCTTTGAGTTCTTATATAGTTATACTTTTGCTTTGCTCATGGATGAACTCATGAAGACATACACCATGAGATGCCAAGATGCATGCTTTTAGCCAATGCCATAGTGCTGCTTGGTGAGACTAAGTGAGGTTTTAATGTGAAGTTTGATGTTTTGAGGAACAATCTAGAATCTATAGGTTTTAAATTTTGTACTCGGGATTAATGAAGTATATGGAGTTCAACTTTAACAGTGTTGATAACGAAGTACAAGATGTCCTCAGCAATACAGACAAGTAGTAGTCTGTGAAAGATGTTCTTTTTTTTGTATGGGTCAATCTTGTAGGAAGATCAAGTAATTACTAGAGAATTCGAGGAAGGAAAGAACTGCAATCACTTGTGCGTGAAAGATAAGAGTAATAGATCAATCATGTGCATGTGTGTAGAGAGAGAGGGTTCATGCAAGCTATGAAACTAACATGAAATAGCTACTGGAATGCAACTTTGGTAGCACAAAGATGAAATGAGTTGATATGGCTTAAACACATACACCCACTTCAAGATGCGAGAAGAGCTGAGACTGAAGCACAGGTCGAAGAATCACAGCTTGAAATTGCTTGCATACCTGACGGTACTCATACTCCATCCCACATAAAATCTAGATCTACATACTACTCCCTTTTAGCTGCTCAATGAAATCTTTTTTTGTATATACATATTTTATATCCGACAATACTCGCACACACTCCTTGCCTTTGGTGACTTTTGAACCCTTGACCTCCTGGGAGGTTGGGCTTTACCGGTAACTCGGGCACTGCAGGGCCAATGACCCTTTGGTTGCTCAAAGAAATCTTCATTCGTGATACTAACCAAAAAGCAGAATCTCATTTGACTCCTTTATATAAAATTGGATACTTCTTCAGCAACAGTGTAGGGTGATCTTCAGTTCCACTTCAGCCACTCTTATTCTTTAAGGCAAATCTTTTAACTAAAAGTGTGTATTGTCACAAGAGATGTGTTAAAAGTTCCTCATTGTTAATATGCATCTTAAATCATTTAAGCTGCTATATCATTTAAGAGAACCATGGTCAAAAACTCACAAATAATCAATAGTGAATAGACAAAGTACCAAGGGCTTTGAGTAGACTGCACTTATAACCTCAACTCAAGAGAGTATCGAAGAGCTTTCAAGTAAGTATATTTTCTGAACTTGTTCAGTTCTTTTAGAGTTCTGATAAGCATGTAAGTATTTCTTTGGCTATTAATTTTTTTTTTATCAAATTGATGCCATTATGATGCAGCATAAAGTTCCTTAAGCTTTTGTTTAGCTTACTTAACAGAAAGAAAGAGAAAACATGGTGGGCATGCTTTGATTCATTTGTTCTTTGTGCACAAGTTGTTGCAACCACAAAAAATAATGACAAGAAAGATTTTATAGGATTCTTCAGTAAACCAAAAGGTGTTGCACTCGTAAAAACTAACCTTTAACTTATATCTTGTATTCTTCAACATGCATCCACTTTGTAGATGACCATTTATTTCCTTTAATCACAGGACAACCACCTGGAATTGACAAGCTGAATCTTATTAACTGATAGATATGTATGTAATTAAAGACTGATAGACAACATCTGCTGCTAAATTAAGAAAAAGTGATGCACAAATCGCCACGTGTGTAGAACATGAAGTGGATGTAGTCTTGTGACCTTAAGATTAAGTTTGAGCATTGGAACCATTTTTTATTCTTTTCTGGAGGTAAATGTGGGATGAATGTCAGGTTCCACAGGGGACATACCATGCAAACTACTTGGATCCAATGTCGCATCAGGCCTCATGCTCCAGAAAAGCAATGCATCACCCATTTTTGGTTTCACATAGATACCCTTTTTGGCACACTCAGACAAATTATTCCACTCGGGCCTAGAGCTAAAATTTCCCTGGGCAGCAGGGAAAACTGTCTCTCCCCCTTCCTCGACATCTGATCTGCGATCATAGCAGATAAATGAGTGTTGAATCAAGTGTCTACAAAAGGGGATGCTACAAATGCATCTAAAATATAGACAGATGCAATATTAATGCATGATACTCACAGATACATAAGAACTGTAGCTATTCGCTGGCCTCCGTTTCTAGTGTTGAATTCATCAAGGAAGTAGTCAAAGTGAGGCTCATATTTTTGTCCTTCTTCGTAATGGAGAACTTGTAGTCCTTCTCCATGTTCTGTTAATTGAGAAAAATATTAGTTGTATAATCCACCTATGTTCCAGCAACTAGACATAAAATGCAAGTAACAAGTTTTGGCCATGTAGTGCAACTATATTAGCGAGGATTAGTGAACCACACCCAAACACCCGAAAGCAACAACGTTGAAACTTCTACCAACCCCATATGGCCTTTTGAAATGTCTAACTCTAAATTCTCCATGTTCTGTTAACTGAGAAAATATTAGTTGTGTAATCCATCTATGTTCCAGCAACTAGACATAAAATGCAAGCAACAAGTTCTGGCCATGTAGTGCAACTACATTAGCGAGAGGATTAGTGAACCACGCCCAAACTTCCAGAAAGCAACAAGGTTGAAACTTCTACCAACCCCATATGGCTTTTTGAAATGTCTAACTCTAACAAATATCCAGAAAATAGAAGACATAAGAGTTTAGAGCGTAAACAAGCACAAGTAAAAGCTAGCATATCTGCTAGTGCTGGTGTCTTGATGACACGTAATTGAGCATATAAAGGCTGACATAAAACCATGAGATATTCATATGCCATACCTACAGGGATAAATGTGAAGTCTGCTATCCGTTTCTCTATGTTTCGTATGATTTTATCCTTTCCCCTCCTCAAAAATGTTCCCGAGCTTGTACGCACCCTATAAAAATGGAAGTGGCAGATATTGTCAACTTGCCATCAAGAAACAAGCAAGAAAAATCCTACTACATTAACATAACCGAATCGTAATATAAGTAAAGATGAGAACGTTGCCAGCACGGACCTGCTATCTTTACTCTGACCAGTCTTGCTATCAACAACTGTTGACTTTGACATGTGAGGCTTCGCAAGATTTATCAAATACTCGCACTCTTCCTTTGACTGTTTCACAATAGAATCGAGAGTCAATACTCAATAGTTTTAATCAAATATAGTGTTCCTACCAATAATAAGGGTACATGGAAGTTGAAGTTCAAATCCCAACATAAAACACTTGTTCATGTGTTTATATCTAATCAGAGATATAAGCTCAAAAAGGCAGAACATTCGGATAGGATAGGTTAAAGCCAATAACAGTGATTTTCAAATATAAAAGATAGCAACATTGTAGTTCTGCAAAACTAGTAATGAATCTCAACTTGTACACAAGGGTACCTTTGGATATAATATTGGAGCTGAACAGTGAACACTACTGAATCATCCAGGAAAAAATGGGAAGGAGACATACAGAAGGGATACTCACCAAGAAATTGTGGTAAACAAAAGCTCTAGGCTCCCAAGAGAGAATCTCAGTCCACTGATCTCCTCTCTTTCCCATCCCATCGCCATCACCATCACCATCACCACTGCATCCCAAACCAATCAAGTTCAGCTATATCGCATAACTGGGAAGATAATAGTGAAAATAATAGTGATGATACTACAAGTTGATCTACATCTTAAAGTACTACAAGATGATCTACATCTTAAAGTATTGAGACAAAACATAATTTTTTGAAAGGACATAGTTGTTCACAGTACCATCTACATTCACTTACCACTGGGATGCACTCAACATACTATAGAAACCAAATCACCATAGATTCACAAAGATCTTTGGAATTTTGAACCAAATTATCAGATAATAAAAAGTTGGATTTCTGCCATAACTGCTCAAATCATTAATCATGCCATAAATCATTAAAAAATTGGTCTACAACTCTTCTGATCAATATCATCTCAAAAACCCACAAACATTGTCATTTAGGGTATAATGCTCCCCCCCCCCCTCCTTATTCTATGCAAGATATGCACCTTGAATTTTGATGTCGATTGTCAAACCTAGTACATTTCAGAAGGTTATAATAGAGGGACTTTCAACTTATTCCACTATAGCATCCGAATGGTATGCCAAACTTACAAACCATGGACAAGTTTCAGCTGTCCATCTGTTTCGAGCCCTATGCCCGAACAGACAGTCACTTTGCAAATTACCGAAGTTAAATCCAATTGCTAAAATGATAAAAGATCATCTAGAAGTTGAACAACAATCACATCTCAAAAAACACAAAACCAATAAAACCTAGATTCACACGAAAATGCGAGAAAATTTACGTACACAAGCAGCCGTTTCCGCTTGAAAGTGATGTGATCATTAAGGTAAGAAGAAGAACCGTCGTCGGAACCGATCGGAAGTGAAAAAATCCCTAGAGCAAGAAGTACCAGCAGAACTATAGTCAGCATTAGAAGCATTGATAGAACCAAGGCCACCGTCGACGATCTCTTCCCTTGGTGATGCCGACCCAAATAGCTCCTCCCCTTCCGCATTGTTGCAAGAATTTCTCAACAGGAAGAAAAAAAAAACCCTAATTCGTAGGGTTTTCAGCTGAATCTGTGTGTGGTTTTTGGATGACTCGAAAATGGCAGTTTTGATGACCTGTTTTGGTTTATGTATACATGTGTTGAACGAAGAAAGAAGTAACGGAAAGCGGCTCGGACAGCGTTCGTGAAATGACAGATATATCCCTGTGCTCATGTGCTGTTTTGCTTCTAGAATTTACATATTTTCTTGGTTCTCATACGTTTTATTTTATTAGGAATGAGTCGTTTACTTAAATGCTTACCTGGTAAATGTTTATTATTAATAGTCAACACTATAATTTATTTTATCGAGTAAAACTGTAGTACATTAAAACTTATCTTATGCAACAATTTGTCTGGTAAGCGCTTACCCAGTTACCCGGATAAAAGTCGTCACCCTCACTTACCGGGTAATACTCTTCATTCTTATTATCACTCTTACGACCAAGTAAGATTCTTGTCCCTTGCCATGTCTATCCGGTAAGGAAAATTGTCCAATAAGTACTTACCTGGTAAGTATTTAGTAAACGGCTCCTTACTTAAATACCTAAATAAAGTTTTTTTATTTGATAATTAATATATATATAGGTGGAGGTTCAAACGAGAACCTCTGTGATTTACGAGAATGCGAGAACAATCTAATAACCTCAAACTTTTTTAATTAATAAATTAACTTATATTAAATATAAATAAATTAATAAAGGCAGTAATGTAATTAATTAATTTTATAATTTTTATTTTATTTTAATTCGTCATAATTATCCCTTTTTTTCCTGCACGTTCTTTTCCACTATCTCCTTTCCCCTTGTGATAATTGTGTGATTGTGTAACCATAACCTATCGAAACCATAATCAATTAAGTGTAACCATAACCTATCGAAACCATGAGTAATCGTTGTGATAAATGTGTGATTGTCTAACCCTAACCGATCGAAACTATGATCAAATTTAGTGCGCAAGTGATGTTATAATAGTGATAT